AGTGTAATTTCTGGCCCTTTATAGGGCGTTTTTAGGTTATCTCGTCATCCTAACGAGAAGGTATTAAATTACGCACCGTGTTTGTTATTATCCCTTTATGTTGCTAATTTTCACAAACGGGCATTACGATAGATAGGCAAGTGTAAAATTTTTTATAAATTTTAATTAAAATCTAACGAGTGCACAACACCTTGAGAAGCCAAAATATTCCGTATTTCTCTATTATTGATAAATAAAGTAAAATGTCATCCTACATAATTTTTGATCGTAAATTATTCGCACCCCCCGTTGGTACCAGTGTCTGTGGTTGTTGTTTCTCCATCAGCAGCTAGGGGAGGCAGCATACTTGTTTATATTAATCGTATTCAGCCATAATAGAACCATTTTCTCTGGGTTCATAAAATTCACCAGCCACCCTTACATTTTCAGTGTTTTGAGAGCAGGGCAGCTTACAGTCAGGAGAATCCTTAAAGAACCCCCAGCCTGGATCTGAAAAAGCAGAAATCTTCCAGATGAACACAGGAGTTCGCTTCAAAATCCATTTCGGACAGCGGGGCGAGGGCGGGGGGCATCAGGGTGCTCGCTGAGTTTGAGCAGAGTATCTGCTATGTGGCATGAACAAGGAGCTTGGGAAGAACCAATGCAGGAGGCTGACAAGAGGCTCCAGGTAGCAAAGGCCTTTTTCCACCACCAACCTGGTTACCACATCCGGCCCCACTACCCACAAGAAGCTCCCAGCAAAGTTCTTCAGGACCCATAGCTGGGCCACAGAGATCAGCAGAGTGGAACCGAGATATCTGTGATGAAGCCTCCGAGAACAATCGTCTCCCCATTGTGACAGCTGAGCCACTAAGGCCCGATTTGGACACACGTTGTTTTTGCACTTCTTGACGTGTTCCCAGGACTTCTGTGAACATAAGGAGAGAAAGACATCAGAATTGGACCTGGGCCCTTCCCACTTAGATCACAGCCAGCTCAGGAGGGACAGGAGGCATTTACCCCATGGGCCAGCAACATGGCTTAAGGGCTGGACACAAATAGCAAGGGTTAGTACATTAGGACAAAGAAGTCAGAGTGGCAAGCCCCTCTGCATCTCTGCTTCTGAATACAGAGACAGGAATCATTCTTATTTCAGAGGCTCCTGTGAAGGTTGAGGCAACATACATAAAACCTCCTGTGAACAAGAAAGCATCATGCCCATGCCTGGGACACGGTGCAGCCTCAACAGAGGTTTGTGTTTTAAGTGGATAAATTAAGGGAAAGGGGAAGAGAACTATGGGCTAATTCTCTGAAGAAGGAAAATCAAAGCTGCCTTCTTTGTCCACACAAAAATGTGGGAATGGTTATTACTGGAAGTCAAGTGACAAGCTGGTATGATCTGGATTGAGAACAGAGGAAGAAGAAAATGACAAAAGTGGTGCCTCAACAAACTAAGAATAAAAAGAAACTATCCTAACATAAGAAAGGTCATATATGAAAAGTCCACAGATAACAGCATATTCAATGATGAAAGACTGACTGCTTTTCCTTTCTTGGATTAGGACAAAACAAGGATGCCTGCTTTCAAACTTCTATTCAACATTG